AGCAGATGCAGCGTCAGGTGGTTTGGTTTGAGGGTTTTGTTCCAGGCCATTCTTCGTCGCTGCTTTGCCAGTAGTGATGCGTGTGAGTAAATGGGTTGTAATAATGTAGGTGAGAGAGCTTAGAGCTTCACCCAGTGGCTGCCTCGGGTCCAGTCAATATTTTTGTGCTTTGCTACTGTGGTCTTCTTGTTTAAAGAATGTCCAGCTTCTGGAGCAGGCTGTTAGCAAAGACTAAGTATTTGAAGAGCAGTCTCTAATCTTGTGGTGATTATCTACTTGCGTGGCAAAAAGTCAAGATGCAGGGTCCTGCCGGGGGCTTGCTATGCTGATGACTGCTTCCATCCCCTCTGCCAGTCGGTAGCTTGGCTGAACAGTGAAAATCACCCTGTAGGAACTTTCGGTTTTGTTGCCCAGAACCGACATACAGAAAAGGATCGGCTGGGGGAGCTGTAGCATTCTGGTTTTCATCCTCGCCTCCTTCGTTTGAGTTAATGCCTGTATGCCTACCCGGAAGACAGAATGAGAAGGGATACAAGTCACAGTTAAACTGGTGATGTGATGAACTTTGGGAAATAATGGTATAAAACAACGATACAATAATGGTGGAGGATGCTGCAGTCAGTGTTGTAATTGCATTGCTTTAGCTATTAAGGTTGTCTTCAGAATGGTTTTTTTGTAAGGGGTAAGTCATCCATATTTTGAGCAAACGAGTACATTTTTTCTTAAGCTTCTTAGCAAAATTGCCCAAAATTTCCAGGTCTCGGTTAAGACCCTGTGTTTTCCCTTTTTTACCAGTTGTTAAAGAACTGCAGTGCGACACAACATTAATCTTGCATGTGGTGAAAATTGTTGTACTGCAAGTGTTTAAGTGATTTCAACTATTACCAAACGTTGTGTTCTTCTGCATGATTAAGGGCCTGTGGTGACGGGACAAGGGGTAACGGGTTTAAAGTGAAAGTGGGGAGGTTTAGACTGGACATCAGGAAGAATGTCTTCCCGGAGAGGGTGGTGAGGCACTGGGACAGGTTGCCCAGAGAAGCTGTGGATGCCCCATCCCTGGAAGTGTCCAAGGCCAGGCTGGATGAGGCTTGGAGCAACCTGGTCTAGTGGAAGGTGTCCCTGCCCATGGCAGGGGGTGGGACTGGGTGGGCTTTAAGGTCCCTTCCAACCCAAACCAGTCTGTGATTCATTCTATGATTAAACAGTGCTTTAGTTACCTTTGTGAGGGATTTTCGTCAAATTCCATTTTCTGAAAAAGCAGCAGTATCTAGGAAAACCCTGGTCTTCGTGTATCTTTGTGAAAAAAGATTTGGAAGTATGAGAGTAGGGAGGGAGATTTAGGGATACAAGGATAAGGAAATCATGAACCATTCCTCTTTCTGTACAGCAAGGGCATGGCAGTTACCTTTGCTGCGTTCTCAAAAGGGCTCTGACCCGTCAAACTGCAGTTTGTGCACAAAGCTGATAAGTTTAACCAAAGAGGAAAGCAAGTGAAGGATTATGTGTATAAAAAAAAGAATTCCAAGGGTTCTCTCAGTGTGTCTGTGTGTATATATATACACACACAAATACCTGAATAGCTGGATGTTGCAGCACAGTTTCCAAATTACAACAGGTTAGGCCAGTTCCCTCTGATCTCTGGTGTTTGCTCATTGGTGGGAAATACAGAGCACATAAATGGTTGAAAAAGAAGGAAAGACAGAAATTATTGGGGATCCTGCAAAGATCCCCAGGTAATTACAGAATGCTTTGATTTTTTTTTTCCCTTGTCCGTGAGTTTTCTTGCGTTCAGAAATGCAAAACTGTTTACAGAAATGTCGTGACTGAGTCAGATGACACATTAATTTTGGCAGCGGCAGTCAAAATGGGTGTGAAGCGTGCTTTTTGGCAAAAGCTAGACCAAAACAAAAAAGTGACATGCTGCACGTTCAGGTTACAGCTGCATACGTTCACAGATGATGACCGTGTATTTAATGACTTGCTATCAAATGGTTAATAGGTCATGCTAAGGAATATCAGGTGTTACACAGCTGCTTTTTAGCATCTGCTTTTTGAGTGTTAATTCCTGTTACAGCACAATCGAGTCAAACTGCCTTACTGCAGCCTTCCTGCATGGAAGGAGAGAGGTGCGTGCTGACTGCTCGGTGAGCCTGTGGATCCCAGGGGGTAAAATCTGACCACACGGATATGACTGTTGCTTCCTCAAACACTTGTTTGGAAACAAGCTGAGGTACCTTAGTGTGCGTGTGTGTCGAACATCGCTGTAATTTGTCACAAATTTAGATTTAGTTCTAACCAGTAGAGGAGGGAAAAATAAGCACATACGGCGTGTAAGGGGCGTACGTTAATTATCAGTGGTGAGTAACGGGTCTGACGGCATACTGGTGACCAAACAGGAAGAGTTGTGGCTCCAGTCCTGTAGAGCAAGAACAAATGCACATTCCCAGCGCTTTAATTCCAAGTGTCGACACAGTTTAAGGTTTCATAACAATAGCTAGCTCTTGGGTATTGTTTTTCGTTGTTGGATCTAACAGCATTTCACAAGATGCAATTCAGACACACATTGATGGCCGTCTTACTACAGATACCTTTTCAATAAACATAACGCTTCCGGAAATGTCTTTCTCCAACGCCGTTAAGAATGAAGTATCTTTATTGAAGTGGTGTGCAGAAGCTGGGATGTTTCATTACAGGCGTTACTGCAAGCCCTATGGATCCAGAATATAACCAAAACAGAGCCGTACGTAATCACGCTGCCCCAGCGCAGCGCTCAAACAGAGGGAATCATCACCGATGTTTTCGGATCATTAATGAGTGTGAGCATCCCCTGCCCTGGTTTCAGGAACACGGATGAGCCCTTGAGGGAAGAATTTTTACAAATGGGTAGAGCGGACGTGTCATTGTCCTTGCTTTAACTGTACTACAGCTTGCTCAAAGCTGACGTGAGGACAAGAGTGGAAGTGCTGTTGGTGGGTTTTGGTGGATTTTTAAGGGTACTGTCCTTTTCCACACTTACGTATGATTTATTTCAACAATATTTAACATTTTTACTGACAGTTGAGTATTAGTCCATCAAGTGGTACCCTATCAGGTACTCTTAAAACAGTGGTATTCAGCTATTAGGAGACAGTAGCCTCTGAAAACTAATACACTTCCCCCCTCCCCAAATGAATCAATGCTTCAGCGATGCCAGAGAGGTGCTAAAATTATAATCTCTTATGTAAACAAAACAGCTTTCTTGGCTAAATACTTTAAGTGGTCTAATTATCTTGCATTTAGGTTGGAATTTCAATATCCTATTTTCCACTCATGTAGCTGCCTTTCCTCCCATATTTCCTATTAGCATTCCTTTTCATGTTCTTGTTGCTTTTGTTGGTGGACAAGTGAACTCATAGCAGCTTATTTCCATAACCCTGGTATTTTCAAGCAATTACAAATATAAAACAGGAAAATATAAAGAGAAAGGGACAACCTGTGTAGTAAACCTATGGTTTTTCCAATTATTGACTCAAAATACAGGCTTCCAAGCTACTCCTAAACACTTACACGTTCTCTGTACAAGAAAATGTGATGTTACGTAGTGTCTGAAACAGGACCTTTCCTATATTCGCATACAAAAATATACTTTATTAAAAGTTAATAAAAATAACTTAAGTTTTAGAGAAGTAAGACAAGGCCTCGTTGGGACGGAAACTATTTGCTCGTGCGTTGCATAAAGTGAGCCTAAACCAGTGGCATTCTAATGCTCTTGGTTTGGATGGCCATACAACATGTGTAAGTTTAGCAAAAAGAGGTCCTTTCTTAATACCTTTTGTCCATGAATCCCCAAAACAGAGGCTGACAATTACTGGCTTAAAATCCATCCTCAGACATGGGTCGATTTGTTTAAGAAATGGGGTTACAACAGCATCTACAGGCAAATAACAAACATTCTTGCTGTGTCATGGCTTCAAGTCATGTTCTCAGTTAACTTTAACATTTTGGCTTTATTCTTTATAGTCAGCTTAAAAAACCAAATGAGGGACTGGTAGGTTTGTCTGGCTTGTTTGTGTCCAGGTGCCCTGTGCTTTGGCTTTCAGGGGCGTGCCGGAATGAGCCACGGGAAAGAATTATTTCCTTGATAACAAACATTCTTGCTGTGTCATGGCTTCAAGTCATGTTCTCAGTTAACTTTAACATTTTGGCTTTATTCTTTATAGTCAGCTTAAAAAACCAAATGAGGGACTGGTAGGTTTGTCTGGCTTGTTTGTGTCCAGGTGCCCTGTGCTTTGGCTTTCAGGGGCGTGCCGGAATGAGCCACGGGAAAGAATTATTTCCTTGACAAGGAACTATGGCTTGTTTGTGTCCAGGTGCCCCGTGCTTTGGCTTTCAGGGGTGTGCCACGGGAAAGAATTATTTCCTTGATAAGGAACTGTTTTTATCCTCTGCAATTTAAGGACAAACTTTAAATATATGAACTGTAAGGTGACTAATTGAGTGGAGTAACCTAATTTTGGTGAAGTCTATGATGTAAATGTTTACTAGGCATTGACAATGCGATTAGCAACAACTACTTAACATTTCTCTCTTTAGCTGCACCGAGCTCCACGCCTGCGGTCTTGAATCAGAAAGAACTACCGCTTAAATCAGCGGGAGTTGTATCCGAATGCAGATTTTGAACATTGAAATAATCTGAAGATTGATTTTAAACCAGAAATAATAATAATAAGAGAAGCTTAAGTGGTTCTCTCGAGATTTTTGTAAAGATGCAGTCTTTGGATAAAACCCCAATGTACCGAATTCAAACCTAAACCACTTCCCATGCTCCCCTTCCGAAAGACTCCTGCAAGAATGACTGTTGTGACAGCATGTGTTAACGGCCAACTGCTGTTTTGAAGGCAATAGTAAAATAAATAAAGATAGCGTAGTACAGAGCAACATGCCTCCAAGTTCTAGACACCTTGTGCAACGAAACTGCTCCTCTGAAGATGAGGCAAGATCATTAAAAGTAAGAAGCTATTTTATAGACAGTTCAGGTTTTGATGCTTTTCCAAGAGTTCCTTTACTAGTTTCTCTAAGGAGAAGAGATGCTCGTCGACATCTTCTGGGACGAGGTTTCTGATAGAGTTAGCAAGTTCGAACAGGTATTCTGTGTTCCTTCCACTAGGGCCAACTGCATTAAGAATCTGTTCAGCGATTTCCTCCAGAGGTGCCGGCCCAAGGTAGTTGGGGTTGTCGCAGGTTCCAATGTACAGCAGCACGTCGAACGGCTTCACCGACGAGTCCTTCGGGTAGAAAATGACGGTTGTGGTCCTGTAGCCTCCCTTCTCTCTGAAGTCCAGGTATGCCTTTACTTCACACTCTTGTCCAGCCGGCAGTCTGTAAGCAACACCCCACACGCTGCCCTGTTGAAGGACACGGGAGAAGAAAATCTAAGCAGTGTTTAAAGGGATACTCAAAAATTAACGTATTTCTGTGTATTCAGGTGGAACTCTCCTTAAAAAAATAATTTTCTTTCACTTTCAGTCTTTGTAAAGCTATTTCTCACACTTTTTGTAGAAAGAGTCCCAAAAGGGTCTGTTTATTTAGGAAATTTTCAGTCAAAATGTTAATTACACAGATTGATTATCTTCTTTCTTGCTAATGCTGAGGCCTTTCTTAGAAAAGTTTCTTGTTGCAATTAAACCTGAAGTGGCCTTGGCATGGGCTACTGAAGAGCTGGCAAAAAGGATACAAAGGGTCTTCCTGACCTCACAAAATTTGTTTGTGGATATTAAAATTGTAAACAGTGCTGAACTCCAACTAATTTTGATCGTGTCCCTTCTCTGATTAGCTGCATTTTCATTTCTAAGGCATGGGCGTCACATCTGTGACATGTACTTGGAGGGACGAGCGTGGTGACGGTACCACACTGAAACCAAGCAGTAACAAGTACAGAAGTGAGTTCCTTGCTTTCCCTCAGGCATCCGGGATGCGGCTTCGCCCTGGCTGTCTGCTGGAGATGTGTTAGTTTTTAAAACAGCCTCTTCTGTGCGTGTTATGCTCTTAAATCTGACATTCAGGCCTAATTTGGTGTTGATGGGAAAATACATATATGGGTGTGGTGGTGATAGGGACTTAAAGCAGGCGCTTTAGTGTTACTACTGTTGATTAATATAGTTTTTGCTATAGGGAATTCATGTTTCAGATGAAGGAAAATTATAAGCCAGAAATCTGTCAAGGAGTATGATGTTGTTTTTGTTTGCTGTGAGGTTTCTTCTTAACTGGCAAATTCAGGTGGAGGAAGTGAAAATAACTCTGAACTAGATGATTCCAAGCAGCACTGTGTGTATCCCTAGGGACAAAGGACAGGCTAGCCTAGGGCTGGTGTTGCTGGTAAAAGTACTGCTGTCACCACAGTACGTGGTGTCTGTCTGCGTGCAGGGGTGTAATTGCTGTCATCTGCTAGGGTATCTTCAAAATAAGGTTGCTTTTTAAACTGCAGGCCGAGTACCTGAAATTAAAGCAAATGACTCGCTGTATCGTTTGATGTTTATGTGTAAAACATGATTATGTGGCCATACCAGATTCTGGAGAAAAGGGGTGGGGGGAAAACCCCGACCAAACAAAACTGGTTTGCTAAGGGGAAATAAGTTTCTATGGTAACAAGTAAGTTTGCTTAACAATGCGAACCGAGTGACAACGTACATAAGCATTCTTTGTCTATATAGGCGTCTGTGTAACATAATGGTACCCAGCAGTACAGCAACGTGAAAAACCCCCTGCTAGAAAGGTACAGAAAGTCACAATGAGAGGCACTGCATTGCATTTCGCTGGTTTTGCTAACTGCAAAAAACAGCTGGAGTTTTCGACTTACCTCTTTGGCTGCTGTTGAAGAGAGAGGGATGGGGAAGACAGCAGTATCACACCTGTGTGGCTAACCAACTGTCGTGGTTACACACAACTAAAGAAAAACTACCTACTCCCACAACACCCATCCTCTGTGCCTTACGGCCTTGTGTCGTGTGGCTTTGCTCTGCTCCCACGCCATCCTTCCCTCCTGCCAGTACCTGCAGCATTCGCTCTCCTGGAGTGGTGTGAAGCTGGATGGGCACTGTCGTGGCAGCTGTCCCCAGCAAGGTGCCAGAATGTAAGTCATTGGAACTCAGTGTAAGTCGTGCCAGAATGTAAGTCATTGTTTCATCTCCCCCTTGCCGACACTTCCATTGCACGGAGTGAGACTTGGGGAAAAGATGGAAGGATAAGCAGGAGTGGTAGACTGGGGCCAGTGACCATTTGCTGTGAACAGGAGCTAATTTCACAGTATTACGTAGAAGCCAAAAGCAGAGCTATGGTGGCATTTAATTCCTTAAGCATTTTATCTGTGTAACCAAAAAATAAAGCAAGGGTCTCTCCTTTTTTATCACTGCAGCGTAATCTCAATTTGTTTCGGGTTCTGTTTCAGGAGGGCAAGATTGCAGTTCTGACACATGGTCTGGGGTCTACTGTCGGTGTGTCAGCACTATATGTACACGGGAAGTAAAATTCTGCATCTTGTGCTGGAAAGCACTTTGGTAATAACAGAGCCAAACTACTTCCACCTCCTTTGATGGATTGCTTTATTTGAAACAATTGGGAGTCATTGGTGTAACTGCAAGAAACTCTTCATTGCACCAAAGGTAACTCAATTATTTGCTTGTAGAGAAGCAAAAATTGAGAGACTTACTACCCAGGCTGGGAATACAACAGGACATTCTGTACATTACAGAGACAGAGAAGGGGTGTACTGTAAGATAGGGTCTTCAACCAGAGTCACAACTCTTCCAGGCTAAAATTGGGAAAAAATAAATAGATCAGGTAGAGGCTTTTACCCTAAGTCACGAGCAAAACTAAAACAAGGGGGGAAAAAAACCCAGATCAATGAAAAGTAATGAAAGGGTCAGAGAACTAATCCAGGACCATCTCAATAAGGTCTGCTTCCTTGAGATCCAGTGTAAATATTTTCTGATACTAGCTTGGATTTTGCAAAAAAACCTCCTAGGTTTAAAAGCTCCTACCTGATTAGATGTATTGCAAAACATACAGCAAAGAATTCCGTAGTTATTTTTAGTAAGCACCATGTTATTCAAAGCTGAAAAAAGAAGCTTTTTGTGCAAAAGACTCTTTTCCCCTTCTTTTCCCCCTCCCAGCTCATTCTCCCTCACTGGGCGGAGGGAGGACACTTTGTTAATGGCTTATTTTTCCAATGAGTTACTTCTTGCAGGAAGAGTAAGAAGCCAGTTTGTAAATACTGAAAAGTGTTGAAATTTTTTGTATAACCTGGAGAAAAAAAATTTTAAGCCCTAAAACCCTAATGGAGAACTATGTCGCTTAAGTTTTCTTTGTCTTTGATTAGAGGTAAGGGAAAGCCGAGGTACAAGCATTCGTTCCACTCTAGCGCAGGATAGAAATTCATTCTCTCGGGACCTACGAAGAGCGAACCTGACATACTTGGGTGCGTGCCTTTCCTTTAGTCTCAGCTGAGTTTCAGTCTGGAACCTGAAAGTTTTCTCCTACACCGAGTCGTTGGCAAGCCAAAGAAATCAATCTGTTTCTTGGCGAGCGCTTATAGCTACCATCAAGCGTAGGGAGTATTTATTCCGTGTCAGATCTCTTATAATCTCCAAGGCTGTGTATTTATAAGCTCTGAGGTGTGGGTGCTTTCGTTTTTATGCCAGTTCTCTCTTAGCATGAAACATCAACCGTCTATTCCTGGTCTGATTGATAAAATAAGGGAACAAAACTCAATGATTACTATCTGAATACTTGCAGGAATCAGGGCTGTTACCATGATCAGTCAGGATAACTTAGCTGTTCCTTTTGGGAAAGTTTCTTTCCCATAACCATCACTACTTCCCTGAGGTGTACTCAATAGTGGTCACTCGGATTTCGTAAATTACGGATTAAAGAGATGTTCTGTGGTGGGAAGCAACTTTCTCCACTACCAGAGTGAAGCCTATCTGGGAAGGTGAAGTACTGAAGAGCACTTAATCTCCAGAGGAGTTATGTGGTGGAAGCACAGTCTGCCTCGAGGAGGACAGGGTATTTGGTGTATTGGCTGGCAGAGTCCTTGTCTTGCATGGAAATACCGGAAGCGGACACCGTTACGGAACTGTGGGTATGACCGCTGCTAGCAAAGGAAGAAAATAACATCTATATGTGACTGGCTGCACGGAGAAGCCGTTGCGGAGAATTAAATACGCATCGTTTCGCCTCCTAGCGTTGTCTTCCCCTTCAAGCCCTCAACTGCACTGTACACTAGAGCTCCCAAACGTGCTCCTGTCTCGGGGTGTGCATGACGGGAGATTCTTCTTGGTTTTACCCTTGAAGGGGCTGATTACCCCTACATTTTTTTCTTTTCCTACTTCCTTTTCCTGTGGCTCATTACAGTGTAACAGGAGCCTGTTCATCCCATAGCCCCCTCGCCGGCAGAAACTGCCAGGGTAAATCAGGGAATCACAGACACAGGGAGGCACCTCTGGACATCCTCTAGTCCAACCTCCTTTTTTCCTCCATTTGACTCTTACTGAAGAGCCCTTTGTTGTCTTACAGCGATTTAACCGTACGCTGACCCAGTAATTCCATGCGTGCAGCAACTCGGGGTTTTCTGTTTGGACAGTGGCGGCAGCCAGCGGTCCGGAGCTGGGAGGGAGAAGGATGGTAAGGAGAGGAAGCCCAATTTTGCTGGTTTGGCAGCACTAAGGAACTAACTGTGGTTCAAATCATATTATGACAATAATGGCTTTCACAAAATCCAAAAATGGCTGGATTTTAATGTCTGAGAAGGTGTATGTGAATTGTGCATGTTTGCATTTCTGCCGCCTTTTTTTTCTGAAGCTTGCATTAAGAAATTTGAATTTGCTGTTTATGAAAACACTTGGGTTACTTGTTCAGGTCTTCCTAAGCCAATAGCGTGGGGTTTTTTTCAGGGAACACTCTCACCGCCCGGTAAAATTCAAGCTGTTTTAACGTACCAGTTGGAACAATCCTCTGAAAATCTTATTTTTAACTACAGCTAATGCATAGTGTGTTTTTTCAAGAAACCATTTGTTCCTTTGCATTCTTAAATCTGTTCTAACAAAACTTTTTTCCAGTTTAACATCCCATAAACTGTAAAATACAGCCCTGTGATTAAACATCACTTTACAACTAATTAACTGCTAATTAACAGTATGAGTTGAGTGGTTCAAAGGGCGAGTATGAGGCCATCTGAGTTTTGTACCAACAGCTTCCAGCCACTGTACGGAAAAGGGCTCCGTGTGTGTTTGCTCTGGCTGTGGAATGTTGGAGCAACGAGTTTTTTCAGGGGAGATGTTGGGTTTTAACTTGCTGGCTACTGTGTTCCTGCTGTTCTTTAGAATGTGTTGTACTGAAGGAGCAGTAAGCTGGAGGACACTTTTGCTCACACAAACCGTGAAAAGATGGGAAATGAGCGTTCCCACTGCGAAAGTGGATGGTAGCTGGCCAGCCAGCAGACCTCATGGAGCTGGCGGCTGAGAGGGGCAGCTCTGGGGATGGGAATCGTGTGTGCAACGGCGTGCCAACCGCGTGACAAAGACAGGCTTTCGACTCGATCTTAAAAAGCGTTTGGGGGCTGAAGTTCAGAACCAGGACAGCTGCATTTCCACAGCACTGCTCCAGCCTGGAAAACACGCCTGCCGAGCCTGCCCGCTTACACGTCCTTTGTTTCTCTGCAGTAAACTGCTTATTTCTGAATACTGAATTTTCAACTCGCCCTCGTACCTGACACACGGTGATGTGCCATGCAGGGGACGGAGTCCGAGATGGTATTATCTTTACCATGCAAGTGATTTTATGATGTCTGAGGTTCTAACTCATGCCTTTAGGGCTAGAAAACTTCGTCCATGCTACATGTAGCCTGCTGTGTTTTATTCTCAAAAAGAATCTTATGCCTTCTCGGCGGGGGGAGATTTTTAAAGCTGTATTCCGGATTGAGCAGAGTTACTAGCGTGCTGGTTAGGTGGCTGCTTTAGGGAGCACCAGGAAAACATGCTTTGGCGATAGAAAACCAGCAGTCAAAGGAGGTAAATCGTTAGAGAGCTGCGTGCAGGTACCGGTTTCTATACGTTTCTGATCTGTTTGCGCTCTGATGACATCGTGAGCAGCATCTGCAGCTGTAAATAACAGTCCTGCCACATCAAAGTCATTCATCCAGCTTGCTGGGTGCTTCTGTAACCTATTGTTTCTTTAACGTTTGTTGAGCTATTTGGAATTGTATAAGGGCGATAGCCCATCTGTGGGGAGGGTGGTTGGGGCTTGCTGAGCAGGGTAAGACACTTACCCTCACTCCTGTGGCTCAGAAATACATAGCATTCCCAATTACATGTGAACCTCGCTTCTGCAATTTTAGTTTCTTGCTTGGGGATTTTATTCCCCTTTCCCAAACAGTAAGTATTTCCTCCCCCAGGAGTTCTCCTCTGAAAGTAAAACCAGCTGAAAAGCGGCGAGGGAGTCAGTCAGATTAAACCTTCTGGCCTTGACTTATGAACCCGCCTCCCTGCAAAGCCCGACACCCGTGCGGAGGGATTTCCCCGTTGTTGTTTACATTAATGTCGGTAACAACCAACTCGGTTATTCTTCAGCCCATCTTAAAATGGGCTTCTGTCACCATTCTCTTCCCAGAAGTTCATTAGGTGGTTCCGAACTGCTAGGTGGAGAAGCAAACGATGGCTTGCACTTGGGGAAGTACTTCCACAGCGAGGTGAGAGAAGCCCAAGAGGCAATACTTCACCTCAGTTCTCGGCAGAAGGCGGCCGGAATAACGGAGCAGGGCCGGAACGCGGCGGCTGCTCTTCGCAGCCCGGGCCGGGCTCCTCGGCTGCCG